AAAGTGGTTGGGATAGATATATAGTTACATTCTGTTAATGAATAGAATGATTTGTTCTAATGGTGTTTGTAAATAGGATCACAAGCCCGCATCTTGTACAGCAATTAACCACTAAGAAGAATATATGCAGTGTATTATTTGTTGAAAAATAAAAAAAAAAGAAAGTAAAAAAAAAAAAATCACATGTGTGGACTTGTTAGCAATCAAGTTGCTGGACTGCAAGCCCAAGTTTCTGATTTTGTAGGCCTCGGGTGGGGCGCAAGACCTCTCTGTTCTGCTGTGCGTGATGGCACATGCCTGTCATCCTAGCGCTCTGGGTGCTAAGGCTGAAGGACTGCAAGTTAGAGCCCCCGCTGGGCAATTTAGCAACTTAGGAGATCTTGAGATCTCATCTCAAAAAAAAAAAAAAAGAAAAAAAGGGCTGGGGACAGAGTTCAGTGTGAAGGCCCTCGGTTCAAACTGGAGTACCACAAATAATAACTGACATTGCTAACAAGGTTGTAGGTAATACTGATGCTGCACTTGCAGAGTCACTTGTAGATCCTCCTGCCTCAGCTTCCCTAGTGCTGGGATTACAAGTGTGTGTCACCATGCCTGGCTCTAGGCTGTTGAGGAAAGAGGACTTCTTTCCTTTTGTTCTTTTTTTATTTATTTTATTTTGTTCAGGGTCTCACTACGCAGCTCAAATTCATAGTGATCCTCCTGTTTTCAGCCTCCCCAGCCCTGGCATTACGGGCGCGTGCCACTACAGCCGGACTCAGTCGCTGGCTCGGAGTGCCCCAGGGAGAGGCCGATGCAGCAGGAGGTGGTGCTGCGGATCAAATCATGATCCCTGCACTTGCCTAAGCAGTCGCTTAGTCCACTGAGCTAGCTCACTGGCCCTTGTTCTTTTTGGTATTTTTGGGACAGGGTTTCACTATGTAGTTCAGGCTGGCCTCAAACTGAACGTGTAGCCCACGCTGACCTCAAATGACTCTACTGCCTCCAAGTGCTGGGAGTATAGCTGTGGGCTACCATGCCTGGCTTTATTTACATTTTCTAGGTGTCAACAGTAACAGTATAAGACATCCCCCAAAACTGAGAAAAACAGCAAAGAGAAAAGAGAGGCTAATAGAAACTGTTCTTGAGGTGACCAATCCTAAGGTTGAAATTACTAGACAAAAATATGAAATTAGATACTTTGAATATGTTCCTAAAACATAAAGAAACTAAAAACTAAAGGAAAATATGAGAGTCATGCCTCACCAAATAGAAAACATCAATAAAAAGAAAAATGTAAAAAATATGAACAAAGCCTCTGAGATTTCTGGGCTATCAGGAGATATATCAACATATGTACAATGCAAGTACTAGAAATAAACAAGAACATGGCAGGAAAACTATTTGAAGAAATAATGGCCCCCAAACTCTCAAATTTAGCTGGGTATGGCAGTGCTTGCCTGTAATCCCAGCACTCAGGAGGCTGAGGCAGGAGAATCTCTGGGAGTTCAAGGCCAATGTAGGATACATAGTGAGTTCAAGGCCACCCTGGAGACCTTGTCTCAAATAAAAAAAAAAAGCCTCAAATTTGATGCAAAATATTGATCTACATAACCACGAGGTATAACCTGAAATAGGATAAATATAAAAGCAATCCCTATCTAGAATATCATGATCGAACTGTAGAGTGACAATGACAGAGAATGCTTTTTTCTTTTTTGTGGCCCTGGGGATTGAACTTGCTCGTCAGGCAGGCACTTAGGCTGCTGAGCTATCTCCCCAGCCCAATGACAAAGAATCTTAAAGCAGCAAGAGAGAAGTAACTCATCATGTGAAATGCATGCTCAATAGGATTAAAAGGGGCCGGGGAGATGGCTCAGTGGAATAAGCGCTTCCCTGGCAAGCGCAAGGGCTTGAGTTCAATCCCCAGTTCGGCCAAAAAAAAAAAAAAGGGATTAAAAGCTGACTTCTCAGCAGCAACTGTGATTGCCAGAAGGCAACAAAATTAAATATATCTCATGCACACACACACACACACACACACACACACACGCACGTACAAAACAAAGAATTAAAGGTATAGGGGAGGGGCTGGTGAGATGGTTCAACGGTCTAAAGCACCTACTTAGAACAAGCTAAGCTAAGCAAAGCACAGGGACCGCAGTTCAATCCCCCAACACCACATGCCAACCAGCCCCGCCCCCTGGTGGGCTGAGCTGGCCACACACACACTAAATAAATAAAAAATAAATAAATAAATAAAAATAAAGGTATAGGGGAGGAACAATTCATATTTACTGGGTAGTTTCATTGTTGCAAGATGAAAATGTTCTAGAGCTCTGTTGCACAACATGAATCACAGCAACATGAATAAACTTAACACTGCTACTCTTGAACTATATATTTAAAAATGGTTGAAATAAAAAAGGTTGAACCCAGGTATGGTGGCATATGCCTATAATTACAGCACTTAGGCGGCTGAGGCAGGTGGATCACTGTGAGTTTAAGTCCTGCCTGGACTACACAGAGACCTTGTCTCAAAACAAAACAAAACAAAACAAAACAAAACAAAACAAAAAAACAATGGCTGAGAGTAAATTTAATGTTAGATGTTTTAATATCATAATATAAAAATAAAGTCAGATATGGTGGCACATGCCTGTAATTCCAGCGCTTGGGAGGCTGAGGCAGGATTGTTTTG